TGGGCATTTCCGAATGACCATAACAACATTTCAGATGCTGTGAATGAGATCGGTCCGCTGGTTAGTCAGAATTTGCCGTCCCATAGCGCAAAGTCACATGACTTTTTTGATGCGCTTGGAGGAATTTATTCGCAAAATGCATTTCCATCTCGCATTAACCCTTTTTCGTACAAGTCAAAAACCACCTCAAGCGAGCGTAAAAACTTTTTTGCGAATTAAGGCATTTTTATTCGAAATTCAGCGTTTCCCTCACTCGATTCTGATGCGATACTTATGATACTGCATAAAAGCAGGGTGATGGAAGCCCAGCTACGTCAAAAAAATGTGTAGTTTCTATTTTTACTAGGAACTGTAGGAGACACAAAGTTGATATTCCAACACAAATGAGAACCCAATTAAATCTCCTGGACTGTGAAAAAACAGCTGAAAACCAAATAATCTTCTTGGAGGATATATAAACAATGTGATCAAACAAATTTCAGAAGCTTTCTGCACATTTTACATGCGTCTCAAATCCTAATCGTAAACCTACAGTCTCAGGGAAAGTTAGCATCAGGGTAAGTTTAACTACCTAAGAAGCTTTGAAAAAAATATTGCAAACAGAGCTTTAAATATTAAAGACAAAAAGTAGGTTAAATAAGGTTGAGAATCTTTCTGAAGTACAGATATAGTGCAAGGACTAAAGCTTATGCTAATTTTGCAATGATGATGAAAGTGTGAGAGAAACAGAGAGAGCGAGATAGAGGGAACTCTCACACAGTGTCTGACAGAAACACATCATGTGATACACCGACCTGCTTGTCCTTCTTTTGTATTTTCATTTTTTCTTGATCTCTGTGTCTGCGTCTGGAATACAGAGATACAAGGAGTCATGAATATAGAAACTATGCAAAGCATAAACCAACTTTTAAAAAAAATAATTGTGAAAATAAAAGCATTTAGAGTGTGGTTCCATTCAGAATGCACAACAAATTTTAAAGGCAGTTCAAACTAATATCTAGACATCTTAGTCATTACAGTCTTGTGATCATTAAATAAAAAATTATGAATAAATACATAATAGAACAAAATTAGATTAAAAAGTGCATATTATGAATAAGGCTGCAGTAGACATTAATAATATTTAGAATATTTAAGAGAATTCTCATTCAACACTAGTTATACATAACTATACAAGGTCATTTTATATTTCATCACCACCCGTCACCAAGACATAACTTTATAACAACAAAAGTGTTTAATGTTCAAATGATTGACTTGCAGATTATGAGCACTTAAACTTCTCTCCACTTTTGCAACCCATTTTATTAACTTTAATTTTCTAATGGGTTTAATTGAAATCATTTGTACTAGTTTGAAACATTCACTAAAACCAAGGCCATTAGATACTAACTAACCGGTTCCTTAAGTTGCATTACTTAAAGTTAGTGTCAATCTACCTGTGGTGCACTGTCATTGAGTTAAAACTAAAAACATTAAAATCTTTATAAGTGACATAAATCTGTAATAACCACAGAATTACATCATACTAACTATCACATTGCTTGAGGTAAGACAGCTGTCAATCTATCTGTGATGCTCTTATATTAAAAAGAAAAATATAAAGTTGACACAAACACAACATTATTAGTGGCATAAATCCATATCACATAATTTTCACCATAAACTAGGTGAGACCCTTGATACGAACTAACCCATTGCTTGAGGTTAGAGAGGAGTCATTCTACTTGTCGTGCAATTTATAACATTTTTTTAATTGTATAAAAAGGAAAAGTATAACATTTTGACACGAATGCAACATCTATGGTGATATAACTCCATATTTACACATACATTTCAAAAGGTTTACATTATAAACCAAATGGGCCCCTTGATACTAACTAACCCATTCCTTGTCCTAAGACAGATGTCAATCTACCTGTGGTACACTATCATTGAATTAAAAACAAAAACATTAAGTTGTCACAGTAACGCAACATTATTTGTGATATAAATCTATAACAATCACATAATTACACCATAAACCAGGTGGGACCCCAAATACTAACTAACCTATTGCATGAAGACATGCGTCATGCGTTATTATTGTATCTTGTATAAAAAAAAAAAAATAAAAAATAAAAAAAAAAAGGCACACTAATGCAACATCATTGGTTGTATAAATCCACATGCAGATTTATAAATCCATACGAACACTTTCATTTCAAAAGGGTTACATTATAAACCAGGTGGGCCCATTGATACTAACTAACCCATTCCTGGAGTTAAGACAAGAGTCAATGCAACTGTGAGGCATTTTCATTGTATAAAAAAGAAAAAACATAAATTTGTTACAATAACGATTTCGTATTAATGACAAAAATTAATAAATAGCAGGTTAATTTCAACAGGGATATAGCACAAACCAGGAGTGGAAGTAAACCACATGAGTGCTAGAAGTTACATTGTTCCTAGTACTTGATAGCAGTCATGGGATGCTTTGTGCCTCAACAGATGCCAAACTTGCCTCATAAAACACTCTTATAAAAAGCCTAACATCGTGCCCCAGATACATTAGCCCCTGTAGGGCGCTAGCCAGCGTGCTAACTGTAATGTCACGGCAACGGTGCTCTATATTTCAGGCGTTACACGCGTGAAGAGCCGCTCAAACTCCGCGGAGGGACAGTCAAACGCGACCTCACCTACCTGGACACGCCGGCTCCGGACATCAGTTAGCGTAAAAACCTACGCGTTCCTCTCTCTGCATTTATTTCCAAGGACACTAAACGCCATGACAGTTTAGAAAAATGCATAAAAAAATTACAGGGGGTGGGAGTCGGGGAAGGGAAAAAAACTCAGAGCAATTTCTTTCATCCTAACGCACAAGAGCAGTTCATTCATGAGGAGATGCGAGAGTTTGACGCGTCCAAACGCCACCTACTCCATGCGCTTTTGCGCGCGACGCGTTAAAATTAAAAAGTTTAAAGATGTGCTTACCTAAAATGGCTACTGCGGCAGCCAAAATACAAACAGCTATTATTTGGTGAAGTTTAGCGCTGGCCGCCTGCAACAACAGCCTAACTTGCGTTTAGGCCCGTATTCTGCCGTTCGCCATTGGACGCGTCTGAGCGCAGCTGGGCCGCTGGAGGTTCCTATTGGCCAGCGAGCTGTCACGCAAGCGACGCTGCGCTATGCTTGTCTGAGAGACACATATCGCCAGCGACCATTGTGTACTTTTAGCCCGTTGTGTGGATGTGGATGTTTTTGCTGCAATTCAAGAGGGTTTTCTATTCCAATTCTTCCCTGATTACCGAAAGCACGCGCTGGATTCATTCGCGTTTGTCGCGTCGCGTCCGGAGTGCAAAAGCTACGCTGTGGGGTTTATGTTTCTTCTCGCCGCATCCACCAATCATGATGCTTTTTACTCCATCATTACGGCGCCTGTGAGAGAGGAAAAAAAATGTAACATTCCACGTCTTTGCTCATGTTTCATATCCCGGATGTGAGAATAGCAGGGGTTATAATAAAGCGTGTGGGTGAAGCTGCATATGTCCTTGTGATGTGTTGGGTTTCCTGAAGCTCTTTTGTGTAATGCGAAGTACAGAAATTCCGTAAATTGGGCGTACTTGTCTCGCTCTAACCAAAAAGTACCATGGTACTACTATTGTTTAGACATGGCACCATGGTCATTGGTCATAGACTTGTACTACATATACTTGGAGTACCATGCACAGTAAACAGCATGGTGCAAGACTATGGTTATCATAAGGTACTTTGTTTGAAATATACTATACGTCTAAAATAGCTTTGTAATAACACGTGAAACACTGTACAAAACCCTGGTAGTACGTACCATGGTACTTCTTGATACTTTTTTTGTAAGTGATGGTATTTTTTTGTTGTAAGGAATAACAAAAATGCCATTTTTTAAAGTTTGTGTTTTTTGTTTTTAAAGGAATTATAACTTGTCTCGAGCACATTAAATTGATCAAAAGTGACAGTAAAGACTTATAATCTTACAAAAGATTTCTGCTGTTTTGAACTTCCTATTCATCCTGAAAAACATGTAATATGGTTTCTACAAAAATATTAAGCATCATAACATTGATAATAATCAGAAATGTTTCTTGAGCAGCAAATCAGAATATTAGAATGATTTCTGAAGGATCGTGTGACACTGAAGACTGGAGTAATGATGCTGAAAATTCAGCTTTGCATCACAGGAATAAATTACAGTTTTAAATAGATTCAAATAGAAAACAGTTGTTTTAAATTCTAATAATGTTTCTTAATATTACTGCTTTTATTTTGATAAAATAATATGGTAAATAAAAGAGACATTTTTACATTTCTATAAAAACAAATCTTACCGGTGCAAATGTTCGAACAGTAGTGTATATCTGTTTGCACTTCTTGCATGTATTAGAACATTTGATCATTTTTACATGTCAAACACACACCAGTATTAAAAATCACTTGGAATTCCTTTTTTAAAATTAAGAGGATGTTGACTTAAAGTCTCATCTCTGCACTCGAATAAATTACATGCCAATCCAGTAGTTGATGAGCATTAAACCTACTGGCACAAACTGAGTGCTGTCTCACTATAATGTTATTAATCGCGATAAATCCCCATCATATATACATCAATATTGAACATTTATAATTCCAAAAGTTTGCAACTTTGCAAAACTTTCCAGAAGATGACAGAAAAGCTGAATTTGGCATCTTTTGCTAAATGTTTTTGGCAGTTGTTTTGGCTTGTAATCTGCGGCTGAGTTCCATGTGGTCTGCTGAGCCAAACAACCTTATTTATACAACTCCGCCAAGAGCATTGTAGATAAACTCTGCTGAAATGACTCTGGGACTTTGAGGAGCACACTGTAAAGAGACCTTCAACTCTCAGCAATTGTTAATTCATAATTCAGTTTCTGAAAAAATTTTTTGGGCAATTCATGCAATTGACATTTTTATGCTCGGCAGATGCGTTCTTACTACAGAATGTGCATATCTCATGCCACAACTATTGCAAGGCAAGTAGCTCAAGACAGAAGCTATTTTTGTGATAAATGAAGTGCACTGGCTAAATGAGTAAACGTATTGGAAAGTGCAGAATGCACACACTGTGAATACTGTATCACAATCTTGACCTCTTTGCCTCTTTCTTGACTCATATTATCAGACTCCAAAAACATGTTTCTTTATTATGAGACTTTTTTTTACACAAATGAAAAATAAAAGATCAACTGAAAAAAAAGAATGTGAAGAAATTCACATGCTATTTTTAAAAAAACTGAAGGTAGCATACTGCATAAAGCACAGCATGCAATATAGTGAAGGACAATCCATCTGAAGCAACCTGGGGTTAAGTGTCTCGTACAAGGCTGCAGAAGTGATGCTCATGGCTCACAGAATCAAAACCTTGTGTTTTATCTCTAAAACATCACACTACCCCTATAAAGGAACCCTTCACTTTCACTGACACAAATGCACACATTAGAATAGATGTAGGTTTGTCAAGGACAAATATAGGGAATACCTCTGTTGAGGGGTTGTGTTCATTCGGCGCTGCAGTCAGAGGATGTTCCACCCCGTGTGTGTCTCACTTTCACTGCTTGAGGTTCCTCACAGCAGCTGATTTCCAACCCATCTGCTCCATCCCTGCACATATGGTAAACTGACTTGAAGAGATGAAAAGAAAGAAAGAAAGGAAGAACAATTAGGTACACTAAAAAAAAATGGTATAGAATAAATGTTTATACTCTTTCAAAATTATTCTTCAAGAATGGGCTAAAAACACATCTCTTCCATCTTTATTTGTCCCTCTAACTGTAGCACTCTCTATTCTAATTCTATTCTTAAAAAAAAAAGTGCCCCTTTTAGACTTTTAGCATTTAATAACTGCTTGTTTTCTTTAAAAAAGAAAAAACTAACACTGGCTTCTCTATTCTTTTTGTATTCTATCTATTTGTTTTCTTTTTATTTATTATACAATTAACAAAAAGCAAAAAAAAGGCCTCTAACACTAGCTTGCTCTATTCTTTTTCTATTCTATCTGTTTTTGCTACGTGTACTGCGTTAAGCTAACTGAGACTTGTTATAGCACTTGCATATCATTGCTCTTTTGTTGATTTTGATTGCTTCAATTGTCCTCATTTTTAAGTCGCTTTGGATAAAAGCGTCTGCTAAATGACCAAATGTACTCAGAATTTGCTAGTAAACCTCACAATTAATTACAAAGAAAGAAGTGAAAAGCAACACATGAAATTTCGAAGTAGAAATATTGAAATAGTAATCCATGCAGCAATGAATTTCAGGCATTTAAAAAAAAAAAAGTGATTTAAGGGTCTAAATAATTTTGGAGCCAAATGAAGCTCTTTTATATGCATATTTTTTCCAGTGGTAAAGAGGTTGAGAATGTGAAGGTAAGATGACATTCATGAAGGACATTATCAGGGCATCTGTTTAGGAGCACATAACAAATCCCTAAAGCTCCCTGCCTCTCCTTTTCTCCCCTTCTGCCCCTTCATTGGCTCTGAGCCCAGAGTGTTTCAAGCAGGAGTTCATTGCTTCAAGAATATTCAAACCATAAACACTCTTGCAGTTCATCTCAGCATACTACAGGTATAAACAACATTCTTTCCCCCTTTCTCTTTCTTTCTTTGTGTTCTCAAGCCTAAACCTTATATTTGACCTCTTTGAAACATCTGGAACCGGACACAGATGTGATAGTGATGTAAAACCAGCAGGGGGCAGATGAGGCATTGTTTTAGCAAGTAGAGTTCGTTGTCAAACTTTTACTCCGGTGAATACAGTATTTCTCAAGGCAGGTTTATTTTTGAAAGTCACTTTCTATAAACAATCCTTAAGGTCCTGACTGCTTAAAAAGCTGAATATTTCCACTGTTATTGTGTAGGGGAAAAATACACAGTTCATTGAACTCACATACACTTTTTGTGACATGCAAAACAGCATGATTTCACACATACTATCTAAAAGTACAAAAGCCATTTCCACAACATTTATGTATGAAATTATGTATAGTCATTATGCATAGTCAGCTTTCATCTAAATAAATAAATAGTTAGGTAAACAGTAAACAATAAATAAAAAAATGAATGAAAAAGCTAACTAAGGAAAATACAGTAACATACAGTACAGAAAACATCAAATCCTTGTTTTGGCTAAAATGAATTGTTGATAGTAATCCAATAGTAATTAGTTGACAGTAACAGAATTGCATACAATTTCAATGTACTTGTCAAAAGTTTGGGGTCTGTAAAATTTTCTTTTCTTTTCTTGTCAATAAATTTGCATTCAACAGTGTTGCATCAAAAGTGAAAGTAAAGAAAAGAATCTTGAAAAAATGTATCACAGTTCACATAAAGCACAATAATAGAAAACAGTGAAAACTATTAAGCAGCACAACTGTTTCCATAATCGATAATACGAAGAAATTTTTTTTCTGAAAATTCAGCTTTTCCATCACATAAAGGAATTACATTTGAAAATATATTAAAATAGAAAAAAGTTACATATTACTGTTTTTGTTTATTCACAACTTTACAATATTACTGTTTTTACTGTATTTTGAAACAAATGAATGCAGCCTTGGTGAGCAGAAGAGACATTCATAAACACAAAAAAATGACCCCAAAGTTTTGAACTATGGTGTAAAGCATTTGTGACAACTTGCCCCAATATAAATGTGACAACCTGATGTAAGAGAACCACCAAGAGTTCCACCAATCAGTTTCCCTTTTATCTAATATTACAACAATATGATCCTGAATTTTAATTTGGAGGACAGAATTCACAAAAATTACAACAAACTATTTGCCAGTATGCAGACCCCATTGCACCATAAAAAGGAATTATTCCTCTTTCAACACCAGACTGTGTTAGAAAATATGTGGAAAGCCGTATAGTTTAATTCAGACGAGCCATTGGGGGTCTTGGCCAAGCGTCCCACAAGCATATTCACAGGATATTTAATGGACTTGTACAGTTTGCACGGAAACAGTTCCAAGTTTTTCAGGCCATCCAAGCTGCCAAATGTGCCGAGCGGCCAAGAAAATATGGAAGAATTCTGAATTTACAGCTTTGATGTGTTTCCTGCCTGGTGTGACAGAGGAGAGAAATGACAAGGGAGTGTGTGTGAGACTCCAATGAACAAAAATGGGAGGAGAAAAGGAGAGAGAGTGAGAAAAGTTAAAGCGGACGAGGGAGCATTGTGAGACCGGCTCAGTACAGGATGAGAGAAGTAGGAGAAAGCTAGTCGCATTTAATGCATTCAGTCACTTCGTTTTTCGCTCTGTACAAGCAGCTTCTCAGAATTAGGTGTCATCTCTGGCTGCTGGAGAAACACACGCTATCAGGAGTCAACAGACATCTGCTGCTGCAACACACACACGCATACACACACACACACACACGCATGCACGCTACTGCAGAGATGAGCACAAATGTGCGTTTGCTTAGTTGTCAGACGTAACCCGGCTCTGGAATAGAAGAGCTCTGAAGCAGGTAGGATGAACTATTATAACTACAGATGTTTCTGCATGTGAAGTTTGAGCTGTCCTGCTTTATTTTCACTCTTCTTGCTGTTTTTCAACGGAAATGTGAACAATAATAGTGTTTTTAGGAGTAAGACAAAAAGTAGACTGCTAAAATGTCAGGATGTGTGTCTTTTTTTTTTGTTGTTGCATATTTATTAACATTTTTACTAGTACATAGCATGTGTTTGGGGCTGGACTCTTTGGCAAACCAATGGCATACCGAGGGAAACCTGTCTGTAAAACAATCATTTTGTGAACACATGGACCTTGTTTTCCCCCAAACAGACGTGTTTGTGTATCAGCGGTCATCTGTGGCGTTCGGACAGGGATGAGGTTCGCTGCGCAGGTTGGCTGAAAGAAAAACACCTCAGGCTATGAGTTGGACGCTCTTTTCTCTCAGTCTAGGGTTGTTGTTTATTTTTGCAGCTGCTGGCACGTGTTCTTGGAAAAATAGCAAGTAATAATAGATCTCTAAGCCATTGGGAGACAGAGAGACAGGGATGTATTCAGGTGATTAGTCTTCGGAAGTATACAAAATGAACAGATAGATAGATAGATAGATAGATAGATAGATAGATAGATAGATTTCAACTTCGCTGTGGATCGCCGGATCGGCTTTCACCGTGGACGAAGCGGAGTCTAGCCTGGGGTCGCCACATGTGGTTGCTGCAAGCCCACCGGACGCTAAAGCATGTTCCTGGTGTTATTATGAACTCGTTATCTGTGTCAGTGCCATGTCAGCAATCAAAAAACACCTGGGTCAAGGCTGTCAGGATCTCACATGCTGCCCTGCTTTTCTTTTTCGCTAAATTAACCCCAAACAGACGTGTTTGTGTATCAGCGGTCATCTGTGGCGTTCGGACAGGGATGAGGTTCGCTGCGCAGGTTGGCTGAAAGAAAAACACCTCAGGCTATGAGTTGGACGCTCTTTTCTCTCAGTCTAGGGTTGTTGTTTATTTTTGCAGCTGCTGGCACGTGTTCTTGGAAAAATAGCAAGTAATAATAGATCTCTAAGCCATTGGGAGACAGAGAGACAGGGATGTATTCAGGTGATTAGTCTTCGGAAGTATACAAAATGAACAGATAGATAGATAGATAGATAGATAGATAGATAGATAGATAGATAGATACATCTATTAATAATCTAATATGATTATTACTTAAACCTCAGTCTGTAACAAACAGAAATGCACCAAAGTTGAGTTGAATGCATTTTGGACATTAGATTTAGTCTCATGTTAACTCATAATGTCTCATGGCAATATTTTCAAAACATGTATTTTAACATTTATTCTGGTGCAGTGTCTTGCCTCATAGACTCCCATGGTAAGTGCATCACTGTAAACACGTTTTTGTTTGTTTTTAAGAACTGAGTGAAGAGTTGAAATTATTTTCTGTAGTAACTGACAGCACGAGATGCTGATGATAGGGCTTAACCTGCATTTAACCTGCAACACTGTTTTAAATTTATCTTCTGGGCAATGAACGAGGCCACGAGCGTTTCCATGAAGACAAATGATGTTTAATGGAGCTCTTTGTCATGCTTTAATGCAAACCAGTGGTTGTGGAAAAAACCCTCATACAGGTTCCACTGCCCTCGTAGAATGAGTTCACAGAGAGGCTCCTCGTGTTTTTCAATTTACACTCCTTCACAGTTCTGCTTTACTCATCCCTCCGTTCTCCTCTCTCTCTCGCTCTCGCTCTCTCTCTCCCTGATGCCCCTCTGTTGGAATCTGAAACTCAATTCCCCATTACAAGACTGGCCCAAACCGTGAGACTATGAAAATCGAGCCATCCCAAAATGCAGATTCTCCCTCTCTCTCTCAATCTCTTTTGCTTTCGTCTCCCTTCATTGGCTTTGTTTCCTTTTGAATGGATACAACACCCTTAGAAGGAATCTGGGAATCTAGAATTCCAATTAAAAACACCAGTTGCTTCATGTAAAGGCAAATACTTTGACAGCCATCAATGGCAGTGTTATACATGATTGTCATGTTAAATTAAGAAACCTGTCAAAGATTTGAAGACGTGCCAGCTAAGCTCATGCTATATATCAGAGTGTGGAAGGTTTGTAGTTGGTCACTTTAAATATGTAAATAATGCAAAAACAAGCTACATCCTTTTATTTCATACAAGCATTCATGGATAAATTGTTTTCAGATCAAGCGATACATGATACAATTTTTAAGAAATACTACTACTACTAATATGATATTTAATAAACTAAAAAATATTAACAAAATATTACATGATAATAATAATAATGATGGATATTAATTATATTTTTACTACTAATAAAATAAATGCATTAAATAAATTGTTTTCAGATCAAGCGATACATGATACAATTTTTAAGAAATACTACTACTACTAATATGATATTTAATAAACTAAAAAATATTAACAAAATATTACATGATAATAATAATAATGATGGATATTAATTATATTTTTACTACTAATAAAATAAATGCATTAATAAATATAAAATAATTATCATAAATCGTAAATGAGTATTATTATATTTAATAATTTAATTAATAATATATATTTATTAATACTATAATTATGATTAATTATTAATTATAAAATAATTATTGAAATAATTATATAATTACAAATAATTATATAAAATAATTATTTTAAATAACTTCTAATATTAACAATAAGTTAAAATAATAAATATTTATTAATTAATGTTTGCTCTTATAATAATGATGATATTAATAATAATTAATTATAAAATTATTGTTAAATATTTTTAACAAAATAAATATTAACACCTTAGTATCTTATTGTTACAATGATGGTTTAGCAGGTAACCATGGCATATTTGGTATTTTGTTTTATGTGACCCAAGCGCAATACTGAAAAAATATGAAATGAGTACATTGTTATGGTAAATGCATGACTATTTGACTTGTCTGTACTATGAACATTGAACTGCAAGACACAATGAACAAAAATCTAATTTTCTGCATTTGATTAGTAGCGTCTGTAAGAATGTGTGTTCTCAGAACAGCCATAACTGATTCTTCAACATCTGTGTGAGTTGGTGGGGCTTTCCCAAAAAAAAGATCGTCTCAGAACTCAAGTTGTCTTCGGGTGTCGCCCGTGAGAATCGAACACACCCGTTTAACCTAATTTGATTTTGAGCCCTCAACATAAACCTTCTAATTCATCAAATGCTTGGTAAATCCATTGCCTTCCTGTTCGGGAAACAGAAACTATACAAAGATTCCCATTTCATTACAGTACAAGACTCTTCCATCCTGTTTATACACGACCAAATGTGTAAATGCAATCATGTCTCACACTATCTACACTCATGCACAGAGACGACAGCTCCAAAAGTCAGCTGGTGGTCCACTTCAGATAATACACGACCAGCCACAAAAACACGAGTTACTATCTGTCTGAAACCTTTATCACTGACTCACCAGCTCAATCAGGAACACATGGGGCTAGTTCACCAAAAAAATATAAACATTTAGTTTATAATACTGAATACAATTCATAGATTTTAGAGGCTAAAGTGGGATGCACGATAGGCAATGAAAAAGAGAAATGTTGTGCATATCTCACTCCTCACATGCCATCAGGCGTGAGCCATTTTCATTTCTGTTACATCCATTAATGCCAAGCAGGAGAGGTGGAAGTTGAGACATTTTTCTTCATCAGATATGAAATGCAATTTCCAAATGTTTGTATTACATACAAAGGTACTGGAATGTGAGCAGATTGCATTATTAAAAGGTGTGGCATGGGTACATATAGAAAGAGACAAACAAGAAGAGAAACAGTGTTTTCATAACATCTAGTCATCGACTTCAGTGGTGGTACACCCTGCTGAGATACCCACATATCCAATACAATCTCATCCCCGATGAACTCACCCTTTTTTCACTCCATTTCTGCAATGCTTTATTCGTTTACACAAGAAAAACAAAAGGAGAGAAGTGTAGGAAGTGCAGAAAAAGGAGGGATTTGCACATCAAACACGCAGCCAAAAGTACAATCCGCTCTGGCTTGGGTCCACCTCGCTTTAAGTTCCTCCACCAGAGCGGAAAGCCCCACTTTGTAAAAACACACCGCCACAAGTAGATCCATCCGCAACAACGAAGGGATACTTATGAGGACTGTCAGAGAGGTCACAACATGATAGCAGCAGTCGAGGAGGTTTCAAAAGGTTCTTCGTTGGTACACTCTAAAAAAGAATCGAACACACCCGTTTAACCTAATTTGATTTTGAGCCCTCAACATAAACCTTCTAATTCATCAAATGCTTGGTAAATCCATTGCCTTCCTGTTCGGGAAACAGAAACTATACAAAGATTCCCATTTCATTACAGTACAAGACTCTTCCATCCTGTTTATACACGACCAAATGTGTAAATGCAATCATGTCTCACACTATCTACACTCATGCACAGAGACGACAGCTCCAAAAGTCAGCTGGTGGTCCACTTCAGATAATACACGACCAGCCACAAAAACACGAGTTACTATCTGTCTGAAACCTTTATCACTGACTCACCAGCTCAATCAGGAACACATGGGGCTAGTTCACCAAAAAAATATAAACATTTAGTTTATAATACTGAATACAATTCATAGATTTTAGAGGCTAAAGTGGGATGCACGATAGGCAATGAAAAAGAGAAATGTTGTGCATATCTCACTCCTCACATGCCATCAGGCGTGAGCCATTTTCATTTCTGTTACATCCATTAATGCCAAGCAGGAGAGGTGGAAGTTGAGACATTTTTCTTCATCAGATATGAAATGCAATTTCCAAATGTTTGTATTACATACAAAGGTACTGGAATGTGAGCAGATTGCATTATTAAAAGGTGTGGCATGGGTACATATAGAAAGAGACAAACAAGAAGAGAAACAGTGTTTTCATAACATCTAGTCATTGACTTCAGTGGTGGTACACCCTGCTGAGATACCCACATATCCAAT